GCTGAGATACCTGAGATGTATTCCTGCTGCTGAAAAATGCCAATTTACAGCTCAACAGTTGATAAAAGGCATATAAAACGAAATCTTTTCTTAAAGCTGATAGAATGAGCCGTTCAAAAATGATAAGCGATCAAACAAATACAAACAAAGCGCAAAGGGCGATGAAGTCAACAATTAGTACATTAGCACAGCGAAACAAGTGATAACACGCATAGCGTGTCATCGCTCAGCTGGACCGTGTCATTTTATCTATCAATATCTTGGCCGAGAGACGCTCTACGAAGTCAAGATAACTTGTAAAGTCATTGGTCACTATTTATAACTTTGACCTGTAATTTACTGCCTTATTTTCCATATAAGGAATACTGAAATTTCCCATTGAAAAAGGTCAACGTCTATGCCCTTTATATAGGGCCTGCACGCTTCCCGGTTGAAGTAGGTCTGCCCTATATATAGGGCCTGCGCGCTTCCAGGGTAGCCCGGCTCACGTCCTTTATATAGGGCCCGCGCGCTTCCAGGGTTAAAATTACATGGAATTTTGTCATTATAATGTCGATGGCTTTCTAGCGCTATATTTTTTTTTTTTTTTTTCTGATTCCTTGAAACTTTGTTAAACTGACGAGGTTACAAATTGCAGATATATATTTCTTTTGCATCGAGGTGAAAACCTGTAGATTTTTTATTGTTTTTAGTCGAGAGAGATTCAATGAAATTTGTCCTACTTTGATGAAATAGACGTTAGGACTACCGTCTGTGGTGTACTGGTTAGTCACTTCGCTGTCACACACAGGAGACCCAAGTTCGATTCCCCAAGTGGGGAGGAAATTTTTATCAAATAGTTCTGTCTTTCTGCTGGGATGTTCTATCCTTCTCAGCCTGGGTTTGGCCCTGATGGGCAGGGTTGGACACCCGTCTCCTAAATTATCTAAATTGTGTCGATGGGGGAGTAAGATCACATACATTTGAACATTTTGATTGAATAATAATAATATATAACATTTATATAGCGCATTTCCAAAAAAGTAGCTCAATGCGCTTTACATTGGAATACCCATTTTTTAAAA